AAGCAGTGGTATCAACGCAGAGTACTGATGTCATTATAAAGAGCATGACTTACTCTTTCATATAAAGATGAAAGCTGTCAAATCGGTTCGAAAAATCAGAAGTTATGAATTTTTGAAAATGGTGCGACGGAACTTTCGGGACGACCTGATATATTAGGTCGTTCCGAAAATAATGTCGCTTTTTTCAAACGTACGCCACATCTCGTGAAACAAAGATGTCAAGAGATTCTGGTAGCATTTAATGCAGAATTTAATCCTCTTTCTAATGGTTATATAACCACTGCAGAAAATTTGATAACCTCTCGAAAAATTATCAAAATCTGCGACCCATGCTTGTTGAGAAAGCCAAGTTTCACAATTTTTCTAAATTTTTATAACAACTATCGGAAGGAGTCCAAGTAGTGGATGGATAGAGCAAACTCTACAGGAAGCAGCACGACTTTTTTCTACTTTCCAGAGCTCGTCATAAATTTTGTATAGATTTTTTGATGGAACCACCAAATTTTAGCAGGCTTGACTCAGACACAAATGCATCAAACACCAATAAATCTACGGAATTTGAAACTTACAAAGGTGGTTCACGGTTTGGCACTAATTTTACAAACCAAATGAGCATTCATCGCTTCAGCTTAGCAACTTTCAAAAATTCCGGGTACAGCCTGGGGCGCCTTGGAAAATCTGATTTATGGTGATTTTATCTCGGAAAATTTGATGAATCGGAAACAAAAAACAGCCGGTAGAAGGAGGAGAAAAAGCTGCGTCGAATGACACCCGAGTTGCTTGCCGGTTATTGTTCTGTGAGGTTTGAGTTGACTATATATGGAATTTGATAGCATTGAAAAATTGATTCCAGAAACTCTAAGAAGCAAGCTAAAAAAAAGAAAACATTACTCTATGTCCTAGAGAGTTTGCTCTATCTATCTGTCACTTACAGTTCTTCGCAGAATAAGTACAAAAATTTAGAAAAATAGCCACTTGACCATGGCAAAAAACATGAGTCGAAGATCTTGGAAAATTTTCGGGAACTTATCGAATATTATGCAATCAAATTACAACGATTAGAAAGAAGATGAAATGCTGCATCGAATGCTGCCAAGATCTCTTAAAAATCTTGCTTCCACCAGTTGTAGCGTTCACTTGAAAAAAGCGACATTACTTTCGGAACGGCCTAATATTATTGGGTTGTCCCGAAGGTTTTGTCCGTTTTTTCAACCTATCATAAAACGCGTGGAACGAAGATAGAGAAACGCTCTAAGC